TACAGAAGGCTCAACTAGCTTTTGCCAACTTGCGTCACTTATGGAGTAGGCGAGATATCCGTCTATCAACCAAAGGACGTGTTTACTGCGCAGCAGTTCGTTCCGTCCTACTTTATGGCAGTCAAACGTGGCCGGTAAGAGTAGAGGATATTCGTAGGTTACTAGTATTCAATCATAGGTGTCTTCGAAACATTGCTCGTATATCCTGGGACCATCGAGTAAGTAACGTAGTTGTTAGAAAACGGGTACTAGGTAAGGATGGCAAATCAATTGATGACGTAGTGAAACTTCATCAATTGAGATGGCTGAGACACATGTTACGTATGCCCAACCACCGACTGCCGCGACGTGTGGTGTTCAATGGTATAGGAGTAGGTTGGAAGAAAGCTAGGGGTGGCCAGACCAAAACATGGCACAAATAAATGAAGTCACTGAAAAGTGGACTGAGTCATGTTGATAGGTGTAGACTACCTGGTTGGGGACCGCGAGATGATAGCAACCGATGGTTAGAGACCCTGAATGACATGGCTCGAAATCGTTTGCAATGGCGCAGGTGCATCCACTCTTTGTGTTCTCCCAAATTCTAATCTTCTGACTTCTTCATCTTTCTTTCTTTTTTCTCTTTCTAAATTTATTTCACCGGATTATACTCCTTGAATAACATCTTCAAATCCTAATTTTTCTGATAACAACTTATAATTTTACTACATCTAACACTACGGGATTTGAATCGACCACTGCATCTCTGTGCTAATGTGGTGTGGAAACTCGAACTGATGTACATACGTACGAAGTTCTACGTTGTTACTGGTTGACTGACTGACTGACTGATTACTTAGCCGATGATCCCAGCAGATGCGAGCAATATTTCTAAGGCATCTGTGATCAAATACTGGTAACCTACGAGTATCTCCAACTCTTAGTGGCCACGTTTCGCAGCCGTGAGGTAGAACAGAATGAACTGCAGTACAGTATACTCGTTCCTTAATTGGTAGACGGATATCTCGCATTTGCCATAAGCGACGTGAGTTGGCAAAAGCCAAACGAGATTTTCGAATCCGTGCAGAGATTTCATCAGACACCAACCCATTGGGGCTGATCAGACTTCCAAGATAAGTGGATTTGTCAACGCGTTCAACTACTTCACTCTCTAACCTTAGTTTAGGTGTTGAAGCAGGCCAGTCCTGGAGCAAGAACTTGCATCAAATGAGAAGCGCACCCCAAACATCCTGGCATTGTTCATTGGTACGAGGCACCAAATATATATGCGCCGCACTTCGTCATTTGGTTCGAGCGCCGGAATAATCCCGAATCAAAAAAGGTGGTTTTATTAGCGACTCACTACTTCCCGAGCATTTGACCTAGAGGTCCAAAACACAAGGTAGTGGACCATCGTAAGGAGATGTAATTTCAACTTAGCCGGTTCATATGCCATTTGTTTCTTCATGGTCCTGGAGCCCATGTGCACCGTTGGTTTGGAATCAGGGTTTTTCAACTCCCCTAGGCGGATTCTCCGTATCTACCGACCTGGCTAAAGCGATGAATACTCACTTTCCGTCCTCTTAATCATGTAAAAACACCCCTATCGCGGGAAGGCAATGAGTAGGACTCCCCTGATAGTGGCTGTTTACGCGTGGTCATGTGAGATCGTTTTGAGGAGAGCTGATTGTCCCATTATCGGCCGTACCAGAGCGTTTGAGGGTGCCTTCACCAAACAGGACTATGTCATTCGAGTATTCTAAGTCAATGAATAGACCTCCTGATGGGAAGTCAATCCCCATAAGTTCAGACGGTGAGAACGTTATTTCCAGCAGTAGACCCATGATCAAACTGAACAGAGGTGGATATGGTGAGCAGCTTTGTCGGATACTTGAAGTTGCGAAATCAGATGACAATGTGCCATAAGCTCTGACTCGACTGGTAGTGTTCGAGTAAAGAGCCCTTACAAGGTTTACGTACTTCTGGGGTACGCCTTTCGATGAGAGACAAGGCCACAGAACCTCTCGGTCTACAAATTCAAATGCTGCTTCAACTTCAAAAAAGCATCACTGTCAGACACCGTGTTTTCTCATTGACATAATCAGTTTATTTAGGCGTTTAAGAGGTAAGCGGTGTTAGCTGAATCAGACCACATTACTTAAATTAGTTGAAGTGATTTACTATCGATTAAAGAACATCTGGTTCAAACACTGACCCAATAAATCACATGTGAATGGAAGGGGTAGTGTGTCTGAAGGTTGAGTGAAAAAAATTGTGCTTATTAAATGAGTTCCTTTACTTTATTTTCTTGATACACAGTGCTCTGAACCATAATGATGTGATAGGTAAAGACAACGAATTCTTTGAAACCTAGAGTACGACAGTTTTCGGCATATTTGATAATTTGGTTAGCATTTGGATTCAGGACGAAATACATCGTATTATAAACTCATTAGACAGAAGTACCTGTATTTCTTGTTGAGGTTTATATTGAGATTCCAACTCAGTACTTCTTATTTTAAACACCAACTCGTCATTCACTGGGCTAACGTCCACATGGTCAATGACTTACTCCGCGGTCATGAAGTTGTTGGTAAGGATCCACAATATCTTATAGTTCACACCTAGGATTGCAGTTGAGCAGTTTATTTTGTGATTTGTGTATTTCTAGTTGGTTAGCTTAACATAGATTTAGTTACGATATTCTAGTATATCTGATATCTGATCAACAGCAGTCCTGAATATCAACAACAGGAAGTTAAACTCACCATAGTACACTAATTTCACAACTTTATGACAACCCGAATTTAGTCGCTTTCCCCTTCATAAAAAACACGTAAATTTTATAATTCCAGCAACTGGTTAGCAATAGGATCACCAAGTACTTTATTGTGGTTGATAACTTAGCTTGAATACGGTAGGACATCAAACACTTGGCGAATTTAGAAAATAAGTACTGAAAATCGACAACTTTACTCGTCGTATGATACGATGACAGAAACAAAACGCAAGACAAAACCAGGTGCTTTGTATCATACATTTATTGCCTTATTAAACTAAAGCCAAACACTTAACATGCAGAGACAAGGCTAATTCAAAGTGGAGTATCTTGCCCTTAAAATGTACTACAACAACCGCCTGAAAACTAGATTTTAATAATTTCAAAACATTGGGCCAATGGTTTCGTCAAAAAACAACTTTACCTGTAACCGTAGAAATTTTTAGATGTAGATAGGGAAAAAAACTTAGTTAATTTTGTGAAGTGCTTTCTTCAGACAGTAACTTGAATTGTCAGACACATGTCTGCATTACTACTAAATGGAAAGACAATGGGCAAAAACGTCGTTTCTACTCAGAACAAAATGAAACTAACACAGTGAATTAAAGATTTAACTGTGGAAAAAGCGATGATAGATACGTTACCCTAGAAATTTTGGGGCGAGATGAAGGCAAAAAGTAAAGAATGGTAGCGCTGAAAAAACCTGTACATTGTTATACTATAAAGTCATCTATACACATAGTACAGAACCTTATTTAATATGTTGAAGCTATGTGAACTAGACAGCAGAAAATTGTCGAGAACTTTACACTCATTAACATGAGACTACTTACTTTATTTGTTCTATGACTAGTTTTGCTTTTTTACTACCGCCCCCAGCCAGTGGAATATGAGGTGTTGCAAAATTTGTTTGTCTGGTACTTCGTCTTTTATAGTTTTTCGGCGTACTTTCGTACACCGGGCCACTCAGATCGCCCATCACCAAAAACAAAGTCAACTAGCCGCCTTGGGTCATTTGTGTTCGTAGTTGAATCCGTTAAACACAATCCTTCAAGTGAACAATAAATCCTATGATTTTACAATAAGGTTATATCGAGAAACCAATTTTTCGCATAAGCATCTTAATTTTATAGTAAAGCTTTCGGTACACAGCAGCATTTAGTGATGTTAGTTATAGAAGTCAAGTGTGATGGTATGGTAATTTCAGTTTCAGTTTTAATCCAGATTTCAAATTTGTGAAGTAAGGACGGAAGGTTTACAGCCTATAATATACCTTATCTAGTGTGCATTTGTGGGTGTCTAGTATTTTCTTGAATGAGCCAAGTAGAGGTGCGGACATCACTGCTTTGTGTAACAGATTCCAGTTATTGACGACTCCGTGTGAAAATCTGTATACCACGAGTATTTTGTTCGTTCTTGGCGTTTATACTCGCCCGTTACGTCCTTCTAAGCGCTCTGACCTGGTGGGAAGAATAAAGAGGATGTACTAGGTCCAAAATTATTTCTTAGGGAATTATCAAGTCATTTTAGGAGGGGTCCGACAATACCAAGATTTCCTAATTTCATTTGCAGTCTATTGGTTCTTACCTTGTCACATGCTCTACTGGAGTCTATTTAGACAGCATTCACTGATTTTCCTTAGTCTAGAGCATTTATCCATTGCTTCACTGATAAAAAGAGGTTTGTAGTGCAAGATAAACCTTTCCTAAAACCAAGTTGTTCGCTATTTTACAAGTTGCTGGTTTCCATAAATGTCATTATGATCTTTTGAACTATTCCTTTCACCGTTTTAACTGCAACACTGGTGAGGCTGAAAGGTATGTAGTTTGGTGGAATTTGTTTTGGTCCTGTTTTATGTGTTGAAGTGCCAATTGCATTTGTAGCGGTAAATAAATCCCCAAAATAAATAGCACTAGGTTCTCGACATTGGATGCTGACCATATGTTTTAGTGGACTCATTTAGCTGAAGGCGCTCGGTCAGGCATCCGCACCAGATCACGTGTGGTAACGCCGTGCTCAACATCAACCGCAATCGCTAGCCAGATTAGATCAGAGAATTCCGATATATTGGTCATCGCCGAATATACTCTTCCAATCTCCTCGACTCTGTCTTTTGATTTCTCTGGGCGGGAACGAAATATATTAGAAGGTGTTACTGGTAGAAGCGTTGTCAAACACTGAATACCTGTGACATCATCATTGGTGAAACCGACGTGATCTGGTACACCTAATTGCAACTGTGAGTCTGTTCCTTTTTGGGATTTTTATATATCATTGCCTTATTTTTTTATTTTTTTAAACATTGTGATTTTTTTTCGTGTTTTTTCCCGGATATATATATTTTCCCCTCGTTCATTATCGTACTTCATACTTCATCATGACTGAACAGACACCTAAAGTACTCAAGCTTAAGACTTTGTCCCCGCCTTCGTTTCAACTGATGCCTTTCTGGCCCGACAACATCGAAGCCTGGTTTTGCTACGCAGAAGCCGACTTCTCCGAGCACGGCGTGATCGACACACGTGCACAATTCCTCGCAGTAGTCAAGGCACTACCGCGCGAATTCAACAGGTACGTAACACCTAGTATGTTTACTAGTGATGTTTCCGATCCTTACGAAATCTTAAAACTCTCGATTCTTAAACGAGGAGACCTAACCGATCGACAAAGGTTAGATCAACTCTTCAACAATATCGACCTGCAACACGGTTCTGCGACAGACATGTTGCAACGGATGAGAGAGGTTATAGGCCCAAGAACTTTCGACGAAGGCCTATTCAAACAACTCTTCTTGTCAAAACTTCCCCAACAGGTGCAAGCAGTTCTGGTCTCGTTCCAGAACAACGCCTTAGACGAGCTAGCTGCATCTGCCGACCGCATTTTAGAAATTACGAAATCTACTACCGAGGTATTTTCAGTCAAAGAAAGACCTCAAACGACTCAGAATGATATAAACGACTTATGTCACACACTCACGCGTTATCTTAGTCTTCGTACCGACCGTAAGAGATCGCGCACACCACGTAGAAGCATTTCTCGTAAGCGATCTGTCTCTAGACCACGAGAGACAGATAACCCCGACTGGTGCTGGTATCATAACCAGTATGGAAAGTTTTCCAGAAATTGCAGAAAACCCTGCAATTTTCCCAACACGAAACCGACTGATTCGAAAAGCAATTCGGGAAACTTCCAAGCCGGCACGCGTTAACGGCAACCGTAGCCGGCGAACAAAGCCGTCTGTTATTCGTCACAGATGTGACAACGAGAGTTCGCTACCTCGTCGACACTGGCGCAGAAGTTAGCGTTCTCCCAGCAAATCCTAACGACCGACTACACGAATCGACCCTAAACTTACAGGCGGCAAACGGAAAACCGATCGCTACGTATGGCAAAAGGTACGTTTACCTTAACGTGGGTTTACGCAAACCCATCCACTGGATTTTCGTTGTTGCAGATGTTTCTATGCCAATCATTGGTATGGATCTTCTACAACACCACAATCTGATCATCGACACGCGCAAACGGAGGCTAGTAGACGGTAACACTCATTTGTCCGTTTGCGTAACTTCTTTTACTGGTTGTAGAGTATCCCCAGTCACAGTTAAACATATGATAGACCCACTCTATCAACCACTACTCGATAAGTACCCTGAGATACAACAAACTCAAACGAAACTACCGTGTGTAACCAGCAATGTTACACATCACATCACGGCTACAGGACCACCTGTATTTTCTAAAGCACGCCGACTAGCTCCTGAAAAGCTAAGGTTAGCGAAAAACGAATTCGATCACATGATGGACTTAGGAATCATACGACCGTCAAGTAGCCCATATGCATCTCCGTTGCACAAGGTCCCTAAAAAGGACAGTAACGATTGGCGTCCAACTGGTGACTATCGGCGATTGAACGCGAAAACCATTCCCGATCGTTACCCGTTGCCTCACATTCACGATTTGACAGCTACCTTGAAAGGTACAACTGTCTTTTCGAAAATCGACTTGGTTAAAGCGTATAACCAAATCCCTATGGCTACTGACGACATACCGAAAACGGCTATCATAACTCCCTTCGGACTCTATGAATTTTTGCGAATGCCTTTCGGTCTAAGGAATGCTGCTCAAACATTCCAAAGATTCATAGACGACGTTTTTCGAGGTCTCAACTTCGTACACGCGTATGTTGACGACTGTCTAATCGCAAGTCCGGACAGAGAAACACATCTCAAGCATCTGGATCTTGTATTCGAACGACTTCAAAAACATGGCATAACTGTAAACGTTTAGAAATGCCAATTCGGAACCGACTCATTAGACTTTCTGGGACACACTATCGATGCTCAAGGCATTCGACCTCTTAGGACCAAAGTGGCGGCCATTCTGGATTACCCAGAACCGACCACCGTCAAGCAATTACGCACGTTTAACGGCCTGGTAAGTTTCTATAGACGTTTCATACCAAAATGCGCATTACTTATGAAACCTCTGACCGACCAACTTCGTGGAAATGCGAAATCCATTAATTTGGACGACACCGCAAGAAAAGCATTCTCCACAGTTAAGGAACTGATTGCTAAAGCAACAATGCTCGCACATCAGGACACCCGAGCACCCATTAGCATCGCAGTAGACGCATCCGACTCAGCGATCGGAGGAGTCTTACAACAATGGGTTAACAACTCATGGCAACCCTTGGCATTTTTCTCTAGAAGGTTGCTAGACACTGAATCGAGGTACAGCACATTCGGTAGGGAACTCCTAGCTATGTATTGTGCTGTACGGCATTTCCAACACTACATCGAAGGTCGTGAATTCACTCTTTTCACGGACCATAAACCGCTCACTTTCTCGTTAAGCTCTCCTTCTGACAAGTACTCTCCCCGTGAGTCTCGACAACTGGACTACATTTCGCAGTTTACTTCAGATATTCAACACGTCTCTGGAGCAAACAATGTAGTTGCAGACGCTTTATCTCGTATAACTTCCTTGAACAGTTTCCAAGGAATCGACCTTCTTAAACTCGCCGAGCTTCAAAAAGAAGACAGTGAGCTTCAGCACGAGTTATCGTCCACAACACTTAAACTACGCATCAAACAGATGGGAACAGGTAAGGAAACCTTACTTTGTGACACATCTACAGGTAGGGATCGCCCAATCGTGCCGAAACATTATCGACGCAATGTCTTCAACACATTGCACAAACTTTCGCATCCAGGTGTTCGTGCAACCATCAAGCTTATAGCAGAAAGGTTTTGCTGGCCTGGAATGAATAAAGACGTGAGGGAGTGGGCACGCTCCTGTGTAAGCTGCCAAAAATCCAAGGTTATAAGACACAATAAATGTCCCTTAGGCTCGTTTAAAACTCCCGATGCTCGTTTCGACCATGTTCATTTGGATTTGGTAGGACCTTTACCAGATTCAAATGGATACTCTTATCTCTTAACCTGCGTAGACCGTTTCACTCGATGGCCAGAAGCAGTACCTATCAAGGACATCACTGCTGAAACAGTGGCCCGCACCTTCGTCGAACGATGGGTAGCAAACTTCGGCTGCCCTTCAACCATCACTACAGACCGCGGACGTCAATTTGAATCTGATCTTTTCCGTCGTCTGACCACTCTTTTAGGAAGCACTCGCTTCCGAACAACCGCCTACCATCCACAAGCAAACGGGTTGGTAGAACGTTTTCACCGACAACTGAAAGCTTCGCTATCAGCTGCAAACGTTTCACAGTGGACCGACGCTCTCCCACTCGTCTTACTAGGTATCCGCAATGCAGTGAAAGCTGACATTGGATACACTGCGTCTCAACTCGCTTATGGTACGACACTTCGACTTCCAGGAGAATTCGTGGATCCTTCATCCTCTTCAATGAACATGGATCTAACCTCCTACACGAACAGGCTTACAAACGCAATGCGTTCAGTTAAACCTGCTTCCACTCGACCTCAATCAACTGATGTTTTCGTTCAACCTGACTTACGATATAGTACACACGTTTTCGTTCGTCGAGACTCGCATCGACGACCATTCGAATCAGCATACGAAGGACCCTTCAAAGTTCTTCAACGTGAATCTAAGTACTATATAGTCGATAAGAACGGAACCAATGATAGCATCAGCATCGATCGCTTAAAAGCAGCGTATTTAGAAGGAAATCCTATCTACGTGGACTTTCCTTCGGTACAATCGAACGACACGACTCCGACACTTATAATACCTCATCCGACAACCAACACACATGATGATACTTCGACAGTATCCGAAAATAAACTTAAAACGACGCGTTCTGGAAGAAGGGTGAGATTTCCAGAACATTTAAACGACTATTGCACGTAAGGCACTTCTAGAAATTTTATATTAATTTTTTTTAAAAAAAAACAATTTTAACATGCTTATATATTTTTATTTCTATTTAAAAAAAAAACAAAACAAAAAAACAATTTTTTTAACGCTATTACGTGTTCATGAGTTTATTTTCCATTTTTTTTCCGCCGACATTGTGCTTTTACGCACATACGAGTGTATTTCGACATGCACTTACATTTTCTTTTTTCTTTTCCAGGACGGCTGGAAAAGAACGATGACGTTTATGAGGATCCGAAATTTTCATTGTACATTTTCTTTTTTTACTATGTTGTACCTCCGTCCCATACAGTAAGGAAAGACGACCAGACGCTGCTAAATTTAGTAAGCTATCAGAAGAGTGTTTACCAACGACAAACTCGTTGGGTTTAAACTTCTGGCTGGCCACGTCTTAGGGTCGTCACTGCCCCCCTAGGGGGGGAGTGATCTGTAGCGGTAAATAAATCCCCAAAATAAATAGCACTAGGTTCTCGACATTGGATGCTGACCATATGTTTTAGTGGACTCATTTAGCTGAAGGCGCTCGGTCAGGCATCCGCACCAGATCACGTGTGGTAACGCCGTGCTCAACATCAACCGCAATCGCTAGCCAGATTAGATCAGAGAATTCCGATATATTGGTCATCGCCGAATATACTCTTCCAATCTCCTCGACTCTGTCTTTTGATTTCTCTGGGCGGGAACGAAATATATTAGAAGGTGTTACTGGTAGAAGCGTTGTCAAACACTGAATACCCGTGACATCATCACATTCTTCCAGTTCGTACGTAACACACCCTAGCCAAGTGACTTATTGAATATCACAGTTAGTTTCTAAGTAAACGTCGAATATCCCGGTCTGTCCAGGGATGGCCGTGCTTCTCCTTCCTTAGGACTGTCCAGTTTGTATACGGTTGATTTACCTGATTGCATAACTGCCTAGAATGTGTCCGCGCCTCTTCTATTGATGCCTCTTAGTCTTTTACCCGGTTTTCAGCCGAGGCTAAAGAGTTGATCGCTTTCATATCTGACTTCCATATGTTTGGACGAACCGGGACAACTGTTTAACGGGCCACCTCAGACACAATCATGAGTAAGCTGACTGCATGATCACTTCACCTTAGAGGTGGGAGGAGAGCCATTTGACTGACATCAAGAGGGACGAGGAACTTAGTAAGTCATATCTGCTGGGACCTCTAGTATACCGGAATAAAACTAATGCAATTGTGCTTTCTAACAAATTGCAATCAATTGAAGTTTTTGACGACCCTACATCTAAGTTTACCCCTATTAAACCAGGACTAAAGTTAACTTAGGAGGATCCTGTTGACTCAGATGGCTATAACTGGAGTGAAAGCTTTTTCTTAAGTGTCTTTTGTCCCTATAAGCCAATAAGAACATCACAAGTCGATACTGTAAGAACTACTATGAATTCGCTTGGACCACCTAAACCGGTAGCTAATTTCGAGACATGACAACTTGCAAGGAGTTGATATGCAGACAGTCCAGTTTACTGTGCTCTAGCCACAACCTCTGGGCACTTCTATTAAGGCTGGTTTTTTAACTGAGTTTAGGTATACACTTCATCTCCCGCGAAATTTGAAAAAAGCGACATTTTTTCATGCGGTTTAGAATTGTTTAAACTTGTTCTTTTAAAGGCTGTATTATATTGAGGTCTTCGTCCTATCTTATGTATGTGGTATATTTCACCCCAGCGAAATAATGTTCAAGGACGCTCACCAAGTAATATATACCATTCGCGGACTTCGTTAATTAGACATCGACGAGTCTTTATCTTTGGATTATACTAATTGAAATATAAATACTTCATTGGTCGTCACTCTCCTATATTATAACTTAACACCATCATGTACCCACAGTCTCTTATTCTAGCATTAACATGGTTAACACATTATAATCACCATATACTCAGATATTCTACTTAGCTAAACGACCTCTCAACTAATCCAGCTTCAAAGTACGACAGGTGACCCTGACAAAAGACAAATTACACAAAAGTCTTAGCCAACTGAAAGGTCAAAATTTGAAAACCATAT